CAGCTGCCCTGCTTCAAACGTCCTTACATCGCTTGAGCCACGAAGTCCACAGTCAGGTGATCTGCACAGTCAATTTGCCTCACAACTGCTTCCTGCTGGAGTGGAGCACATGGATTCATTCCCCTCTACCTTTTTACCTGTTGGTAGGTATGGCCACGTGTCAGGAAGAATGCATTACTAACTTTCCTTTAATGCATTTCCTAAGATTTGAATAGCTTGCTTAAAATGAGCAAACAGGATATTTCACTGCCCGGTTGACTTTTAGTAGGGATCAGCAACTCAACCGGTCACCCGAGTGCCATATTTAGGCCACTAAGGGAAACAGATTGTTCTTTTCTTCCCCACTCACCAGTTGCCAACCCAGAGGCAGGAAGTTGTTTGTGGAGGGAGCGACCCTGTCTGGACTACGCAGATGGCCAGAAAATAGCCAGAAAATTTGGGGTGGTGAGGTGTTGGGAAATCTGGGGAGGGGGGTGGGGAGCAGGGGATAGAGAGAGAGAAAGAGATCCCTTTGGCAGGCAGGTGAAGAAGAGAAGGGTCTTTCCTTACCTGCCGGCACAACTCCAACAGTGGGAGTTGTGGGGCATGGGCCATGAGGGAGGGGGGCACTGCCCCTAAATGCCCCTCTGTGGCTATGGGCCTGTCCCAGGTTCTTTCTTCATAGTGCAGAGGGGCTGTGGCTCAGCTGCCTACACACACACACACACACACACACACACACAATTAAAAGAAGCTTCTGGAACAATTTTAGCTTGCAATTTCATTATTATACTTTATTTTTGGTGGACCCCCTGTCTTGCTTAACATTGAATGGGCCCCTCTTCGCAGTGGATGTCGAAGTAGAAACGGAGTGTCTCGTTGTACGAGTTCAGGTTGTCTCGCAAGCAGAGGGCAGCTGCCTTGTCACACTCACAGATCTCCATCTCGCACCAGCTTCCCTCGTCTGCTGACAGAAAGGAGGAGGGGTTGAAATATTGCTGGTAGGGTTGCCAGTCTCCAGGTGGGGGCTGGAGATCTCCTGGGATTACAACTGATCTCCAGGCGACAGAGTTCAGTTCACCTGGAGAAAATGACCACTTTGGAAGAAGAAGAAGAAGAAGAGGTTGTATTTATATCCCGTCCTTCACTACCCAAAGGAGTCTCAGAGTGGCCTACAATCTCCTTTCCTTTCCCCTCCCCACAACAGATACCCTGTGAGGTAGGTGGGGTTAACTGCCCTTGAGAGCTCTGAGAGAACTGTGACTGACCCAAGGTCACCCAGCAGCTGCATGTGGAGGGGTGGGGAATCAAACCCGGTTTAGAGTCCATGCTCCTAACCACTCTGTGGCAATGTTCCCTCTAAGCTGTGGAGTCTTGTGAGCAAAAAATCTACTTTGTGAGCTGCTGGCATTAAAGTTGTGAACAAGCGATTTGGCCACTGCATAAATTAGTTTGCTCTGGAACTCTCCTTCCTGAGCTAAGAGAAAACTGTGTGAGCTGGAGGCTGAAAAACTGTGAGCTATCTTACACTAACTCCGCTTACAGGGAACATTGCTCTTTGGTATCATACCCCACTGAGGTCCCTCTCCTCCTCCACAAACCCCACCCTCCCCAGGCTCCACCCCCAAAATCTCCAGGTATTTCCCATCCTGGAGCTGACAACCCTACGTGACATATAGCCTGCAAGCCAGATCTGCTGTTCTGCATCATCAATACTTTAAAAGGAACTCTCTGCAAAAGTGAGTATGTTCAGTCAATGAAGGGAGGGTGGGTACCATATTATCCGCTCATCAGTACTGTTCCTGTGGGGGCCAGGGCAGGGACAGCACACTCCTGCCCTCTCTCCCTCTTGGCTCATTTATCTGAGGAGGGGTTGTGGGCACAGGTAAGCAGGGCACCTGGCAACCAGGGCTGTAGTCAGGCTGGAGCTAGTGGGTGCGATGCCCTGCTTGGACCAGGGTTTTGACTCTGCCCAATTTTTTTAAAAAAACAGGCCAACATGTTTTGTAGTACATGAAAAATTCTGGTTTTTAAAAGGACATATCCTTTTAGCTGAGAGCCAGTTTTTCTTTCACCCACATAGCTGTTATTCCTGGGCACAGGTGATGCCTTGCAGGTTATCAATAAGAACAGCATAGGCAGTAATTCTGTAATTCTGTTCCTGGGATCCAAAATCACTGCAGACGGTGACTGCAGCCATGAAATTAAAAGATGCCTGCTCCTTGGGAGGAAAGCGATGGTAAACCTTGACAGCATAATAAAAAGTAGAGACATCACCCTGCCAACAAAAGTCCATATGGTCAAAGCAATGGTATTCCCAGTAGTACTGTATGGCTGCGAGAGTTGGACTATAAGGAAGGCTGAGTACCGAAGAATAGATTCTTTTGAATTATGGTGCTGGAGAAGACTCTTGAGAGTCCCCTGCACTGCAAGGAGATCAAATCAGTCATTCCTAAAAGAAATCAACCCTGACTGTTCCCTGGAAGGCCAGATACTGAAGATGAAGTGCAAGTACTTTGGCCTCCAAATGAGAAGGGAGCACTCACTGGAGAAGACCCTGATGCTGGGAAAGATTGAAGGTCAAAGAAGAAGGGGACGGCAAAGGATGAGATGGCTAGACAGTGTTATCGAGGCAATGAACGTGAAATTAAGCAAACTCCGGAGCACAATGGAAGACAGGAGGGCCTGGCATGATGTGGTCTATGGGGTCACAAAGAGCCGGACTCGACTGTGTGACTGAACAACAACAAGGCAGTAATTGTTAAAAGGCATGGTGACTGTATAAGTAATGACCAGAGCTTTCAAATTATGATGAGAAAAATTCACATTCAAACTGTGGGTTTGTAATCCCAACATTTGCATGGGGAAATTGGAAGTGCTGATACATTTCAAACGTATTAAATTGACTAATAGTTATTTCAGCTCTACAGCAAGACTCTCACACACAAACAAAATACACAATGGATAAACACTAATCCAAATGTAGCCTTTTCGATGTCTGTTCATCTTTATAAAGCAAAACTACAGACACAAATGGTCCCAATCAGTGTTCCCTCTAAACTGAGTTAGCGTGAGCTAGCTCGCAGTTTTTTAGCCTCCGGCTCACACATTTTTGTCTTCACTCAGGAAGGATGGCTACAGAGCAAACTAATTTATGCAGTAGCCAAACTGCTCGCTCACAACTTTAATGCCAGTAGCTCACAAAGTAGAATTTTTGCTCACAAGACTCCACAGCTTAGAGGGAGCATTGGTCCCAATCCATTTATGGAGAGGAGGGGAGGTTTAACCCTTCGACACCAGCATATTTGCTAAATACCACATGCACACATCAGGCTGTTAAGGCTGAGAATAGTGTCTGTCTTTTTATCCTTGAATGGCAAAGAACAGTGCAGGGACCCTAGTTCCTATTAGCAAAACCATGGATGTATATGTGTGTTTGTTTGTTTGTGTGTGTGAGTGAGTGTGTGAAGGATTAGCCCTTCTTCTCCCTGTGGAGCACATCTTACTGCAGATTTTCAGAGCAGTAAGGCTTTAATCTTGACACTGGATTCTGTGCCCACCTTATGCACATCTGTTTTCCTCCGGTATATTTGTTCTGCAGCTACAATTAAAAACCCACACTTTTCTAAATCGGGGTGGAATATCACGTGACATGTACGGGGTGGTGTCCAAAAATTTTTTTTAAAGCATGAAAGTGGAAAATGTTTTCAGGTCTTTAGGATTCTCATCCCAGTGTCTGTCTCTCTTTACATTTCATGTAAATTTCATTCCTTGCTGATGATCCCCTTTATTTTGTTTGCATGCAGCACTGAAATCCCACCCCCCTCCACTAGGGATGCTGTTGTTTGCCTCCTCTCCAATCTCCCGTTCAAGTCAATACCAATAGGGAACTAAACCTCATACAGCTCCTTTTAAACTTTCCCCCAATTGTTTGTTTTTTTAAATTCAGTGATGCAAGACTAGTGAAAATCTCATATCACTAGAGTCATGCCGCTTCTAAAAAAATAAAAATTTTAAAATGAGGGGAAAGTGGAGCTTGTACACCGATGAAGAGGGGAGGATGGTGGAAGGTATGAAGTGGACAGAATGACCTTAATGTGGGTGGTGCAAGACTAGTGAAAATCTCATATCACTAGAGTCATGCCGCTTCTAAAAAAATAAAAATTTTAAAATGAGGGGAAAGTGGAGCTTGTACACCGATGAAGGGGGGAGGATGGTGGAAGGTGCAAAGTGGACAGAATGACCTTAATGTGGGTGGAGAGTGACCTTCAAAGGGCGGCAAAAGGGCAGGGGGAAATCTGAAGGAATCCGTATGCTTTTGAATTACCTTTGGCTTGGAAGTGAAACTCAGCCAATATCATAATGCCCCTATATAAATCAATGGTGCGACCTCATTTGGAATACTGTGTGCAGTTCTGGTCACCACACCTTAAAAAAGATATTATAGCTTTGGAAAAAGTGCAGAAAAGGGCAACTCGAATGATAAAAGGGTTGGAACACTTTCCCTATGAGGAAAGGTTAAAGCGCTTAGGGCTCTCTGGCTTGGAGAAAAGACGGCTGAGGGGTGACATGATCAAGGTTTATAAGATTATGCATGGGAAAGAGCAGGTAGAGAAAGAGGTACTTTTCTCCCTTTCTCACAATACAAGAACTCGTGGGCACTCCATGAAACTGCAGAGCGGTCGGGTTAGAACGGATAAAAGGAAGTACTTCTTCACCCAAAGAGTGATTAACACATGGAATTCACTGCCACAGGAAGTAGTGGCGGCTACAAGCATGGACGGCTTCAAAAGGGAATTAGATAAGCATATGGAGCAGAGGTCCATCAGTGGCTATCAGCCACAAGGTATAGATAGGGGCTCTGTCTTCTTGGTGCTTGGGGGGGGGTCGTGCTTGGGGGGGGGTCAACAGTGGGAGGGCTTTTAATGTCCTGGCCCCACTGGTGGACCTCCTGATGGCACCTGGTATTTCTGGCCACTGTGTGACACAGAGTGTTGGACTGGATGGGCCTTTGGCCTGATCCAACATTGGCGTCTCTTATGTTCTTAGGGGAAAATTGGCAGAAAAGCGCTCTCAGAAAACCTGGGGAAACAGCAACCAGAAAGCGAACTGAGCACTGAAGGGACGAAAATCAATGCAGAACG